GACAGCCAACACCCGGAGGGTTCCGATAAACTGGCGGCGCCGACGCATTCGGAGAGTGTTTCACCATTTTTCACATCTCACACGTGCGCACATATGTGTTCATTCATTTGTACAGCTTGGGTCAACAGTAGTGACAATTCAGAGATCTGTAGGCCTTTTCATGAGACGACCACTGACTGTGGTGTCGTGGTCGTCATAGAGGATACGGTACTTTAAACACTTATCGTGATAAAACACAATTCTTGACGTATCCATCGAGTCGGCTCTCTGATACAGCAATCCAATATTCAATGGACATTCGTGCCGCCGTGCGCGCAGTCTCGATGACAACGTCTTCTCCGATTTTATAAACTCGTTGCTCCTAAAAGCCCGTAGCAGTGCTACGCAACATCATCACCCGCGATGCGGCGCGGATCAAATTTCACACTGACGACGTACATAAGCAAGCTCGTAATTCGGTCTGCATGACAGCGCATCAGCCAATGCATTCTGCTTTACTGACTTATACTTCATCTTGAAGTTATATTCTGCGAAGAAGGAGATGCATCTGGCCAATCTCTGCGAGAGGTGAGGCGACTGAGTCGCAGTACGTAGTGACGAATGATCTGTGTAGATCACAAACGGCTTTGAGCCGAGCAGGTGAACCCTGAACTTGACAAGTGCATACTTCATCGCAAGTAACTTGTCGTGGACTGGGTAGTTATTGTCTTTCGCGTTACGCTGGCAAAATTCGAGCTAGATCACCTGATTTCGCCCCTCGGCGTCTGCTTCCAGCAGTGCACAGCCGATGGCAACGTCCGAAAAGTCTTAGACGGCGATTGAGGTCTAGCAACGCCAAAATTGGTGCATTAAGAAGACTATATTCAACCCCGTCAAGAGCCTCCAGTGCTTGTTGTCCCAACATCATTCCGCATCCTTCATAAGGAGATTCAAAATTGGCTGTGCCATTTCGGCATAACTGTTGCCATACTTGTGCAAGTAATTGGCGAGCCCAAGCCATCCTTCTGGTTCCTTTAAAACCGGCCATTCCACGATAGCCTTGACCTTAGCGGGGCCCGCACGAAGGCTACGCTTCTCAATCAAGCACCCTGAAAAGAGGATATCTTTGGTGCCGAAGATGCACTTGTCTGCATTGGCATACAGCTTTTTCGTGCGCAGCACTCGAGCACCACCCTGAAATGGACGATGTGATTTTTTACAACGAACAAAGATGTCGATAAATTATGTCTGTGCATATGCCCGTTGGGACCCGAACAAATGCGTCACAGGACGATTAAATGTTCTTGGTGCATTTGACAGCCCTTAAGGCATCATCAGCCACTCCCAGAGCATGCCGCTCGGAGTGCCCACCGCTGTCAATGGTGTATCACTCGCTCTCATGAGCAATTTGTAATACCCATCGACCAAGCCGAGTGCACTGTACTTTTTCTGCCAACCATGTTGTTCTGGAGAATATCATCCTTGGAATTGGCGTCTGTACCGGAATGGTGGCAGTGTTTAGATTATTGTAAGCGTGAACGATACGCCATTTGCTGTTCGTCTTCCGGACACAAAACGTTGGTGTCGATCGGGTAGACTTGCTCTCACGCACCATTCCTGCATCGTTTTTTGCACGGAAGAAGGTGTCGATGACGTCACACTGCTCCTTGGGCAGGGCCATGTTACGCAGTATTTGATTCCCGGAACCAGGTCGATCTCATGCCGCACACCTCGGTCCAGAGGTAGGATCGATGACGGGTCCTTTGATACGACGTTTTCACCAAAAGAAAGAACGGATTTGAGAGGTCCTCTAGAATCGATGATCTACTTAGCGCGTTCAGCACCCACTTGGTGTCCTCCTGGACAGTTGCATTCAAGAGCGATGACGAGTTTATCTCCTCGTCCGGTCGTATAATGACCACTCCTCGTCCAGTCGTTTAATGACCGCGTCGACTAAGTCGCCTTCCTTCAATGAACTGCCGAACTCTTCGAAGAACATCTTGTTCAGCTCAAGAAGAGCATCCACCTCAGGAATAGCCCCAAAGGCGACGTCGCCGTCTTTCTCCGCCGTCACCGATAGCTGTGCGCTATCGTCTACGGTAGACACACCCTTGGTCAGGGTCGACGCTCTGCGTCTTGCAGATAATATAAGGTGTCGCCTTTGCCTCTCCACGGTGGTTGTGCGCCTCGACGAGTCAAGTGAAAACATGCGTTTAGCGTCGTCCAGCGACCCCACTCCCTGCCCCACTGGAGTCTTGATGTTATTAAAAACATCCGACGAAGGGCTGCTAGTTTCGCATTCTTCGTCCTGTGAATAACGTATCACTTCACGCGCATCTGAGGAGCCTTGCACAAGAGGCCTCAGACCCGTCCGATCATGCCACTCATGGCATGCAGCAAATGCTTTGAAACGTGAGCAGTGCTCAGTAGATTACGTCCCACACCATGCATCACTGGGGCCTCGCCCTCAATACCTCGGCCCTTGGCCGCCCATACCACACATGGCATACATCGACTCCCCCGATACTTGAGCAGCGCTCAGTGGGTTACGTTCCGCTCCACATTCAGCCTGCGAGCCATGCTTGGGACTTCTGTCCCATACACCTTTGGTGTTCAGCAACTCGAGTAGTATATTGAGTAAAAAGTCGTTTAGCTAGCATTTCCACGTGGTTTGCTTCGAGAGCCTATTCTAGAGTTTGGTAACTCGCGAAGTTTCTGTGTCCATCATTCTTTGCAAAATGCAAGTGGCACTCGCTCAACACATTTCCCAAGAGAAGACTGAAAGGTACTGTTGGAGCTGGCTGTCAAATGCAAAATCAGCTTCGTGGGTTCTACTACCGTACATAAAGCCCAATTGATAATGTTTCCAACAAGCTTGATGTTGATGTATCCGTAAGTAGGCACGTTACAAGTTTAATCATGAATTTGATTTCTGGAAGTGTTCTTATAAGACAATTTGCGGTCTCTCATGTGTAAGTAACATTTTATTATTATCAGCTCAGAAAAAATGAGATTGGAATGACTTTCTAAATGCAATCAGCGCGCGCCTAGAGGCGTTTACAAGCTATAGAAATGCTCTGCTAGAGCATCTACAGCAGATGACGTCGTCGTCTGCATCCATTACGCCACCGTCGGCGGCGGATGAATCCCCCGACCCAAGCCGCTTATGGTGAGAGTAAAGACCCTTAAGGGCAACGATGGAGAGAACTTCCTGCTTTGGGTGAGAGAGGTTGAGATGGCTGTGGCATTCGTTACCTCCTAGACTGAGCTGAAGCTACAGCATTGATAACGCCGCTTACCAGGTATAACGCGTTCGATCGCGTTTCCTTGCCGTTCGACAGGGCAAAAATAAATTGATGGGCTTTGTCAAGGGTTGCGTACTCTCATTGCTGATATGGCAGCTGATCTTCTTCCCGAGGCGGCCACAGTGACCGTTTTTATGGAGGGACTTTGCACTGGCGTTGCCAGAATGGAAGCCTTTCATGTGCATCCGTCTTTTTTCACAGAAGCAGTGATTTGGCATTGAATGCCGAATTCGCGACACGACTTGGTCGGAATGAACACTCTAGCAGCTCGTCGAGCGGGCCTGAGCCGATGGATTTCAGCTATGATGAGGAGCTGGAAGCAGAGCTTCGATTTGCCGAGCAGTGTTTGAACACCCGATGGTAATTTTCTGTGGAGACACCCAGTCACCTTCGGACTGGAGTCCCCCTGCGCGTCGAGGTAAATCGAACTGATGTCCCGCTGTTCACTAGTCTGATTTGTCGCGAAGAAACGACAACACCCAGTAGGCGCGGGGTGCCCTACTGGGGAAGAACTGAGTTCTGTTGAGCCTCAAATAGATATGCGAGTGAGGAGAATTTTCAAAGAGACAACGATGGGTCAAGCGAGGTTCAGAGAAATGTTTCTTGTGTAAACAGCTTGGTCACAAGAAGTCGTCGTGCCCTTATCGGAAGAGCGAGAGTCACGACGAGATTGTATTCTCAGCTATGAGTGGGATCGCTGATGGGAAACCGTATGGCTTTTGGATAGTGGAACAAATTCTAATACAAGTGGAGATCGCCATAATTTTTCAGAGTATCGCACTGGACTTCACAAATCAAAATCAGTGTAGCCAGTCAATGGTAAAATTGTGGCTACAATTTCTCATGTCGGCATGTGATTTTCCAAGAGCTCGAAAGACGCCAGTGGTGACGGTAGCACTTATCTTTAGCACACTTGTCTTGGAAATGAAGCCCCTCCAAGATGGACGAGATTATCAGGGACTATGAAGGTATTAAGAGCGTGGAGGGCTCAATTTAAGGTGTCTGCGAAGGATGTGTATGAGGAAAAATGTCGACTGAAGCGTTTGCCAGGCAATCAAGAAGTGTAGTAAAAACCTCACGCGCATTCGAGATCGTCCATAGTGATGTTATGAGACCGATCAAGCCCAAGTCGAAAGGGGGAGCCCAGGACATGGTCACATGCATCGATGACTTCACACGGTTTGTGCATGTGTGTTTGATTTAGAGCATGGCATTGATACCAGACCGATTCAAGGAGTACTGCGAGATAGTGCATCATCAGTTTGGAAGAAGATTGAAGTGCGTTCGGAACGACAACGGTGACCGGAGTCAGCGATTCGATTCGTTTTGCGCACGATCAGGTGTTGTACTTCAGGCCAGTGCACCGTATTCGCCCTAACAAAATGGGCTCGCCGAACGGATGAACACTAACAGAGATGGCGTGCTCGATCGTTCACGCGATACATAGTGAACGTCAGTGATGGGGAGAAGCAATGATGCAGCTGTGCATATCGTCAACAGGATTCCGGATACCGCTCGGCTTCGCAGGAGTTCATTTGAAGCGTTGACAGGATTAAAGCCTACACTGGAGTATCATATTTTTTTGGGTCGCACGGATATGTACATGTCGACAAAGCCAAGAGGTTCAAACTGGATGAAAAGCATACCGATGTTTTAGGGTACGCTGAAGAAAATAAAAGCCAATCGAAATTAGGACTACGATGCTAAGCGCCTTGTTACGACTCGTACCATTCAACTGGACGAGCGAGTGCCATCCGCGCACGTGAATGTCGATCTTTGCCAATAATTTCAAGTAAACCGATCGAAGGTGAGGTTGATGAGGGGTACGCATCATCGGACTTTCAGTTCAACATAGCGTAGAGGATATAGAGATGGAAGATATTACTGGCGATGACAGGACAGAAGACATGGAGGTGGACCCACCGAGACCGGAAAGTACGATTATTCCGACGCGAACAGCTATCTCGGTGCCGGAACGGGGGGGTCAAGAAACTACTAACCGCCTTCAAAGTGTACTCCTGCCCAGGGATGCGATATCCGACGCAGAACGCCAACGTGCTCATCCGTCTATACCGACGACAACTCCGCCGCAATTCATTGTGCGTGTGACTTCTCCATCTGCCATGGTACTGACAAGAATTCCGCGTGTATGAATCCACCAGGTGCAATTGTGGCAACGTAGCAACTGTGTGATGATTATCATCTCGTGCTTAGTGATGGTAATCAGCGTCTAAAGCGGCTCTCATACGCCCCACCACGAATGCTACCGAGTTCGGACAATGTGCGCAGTGAAGGTAGGGTGTCATTACTCACCAATGGCTTAGATGCAAACGACAACGACAAAAGTGGTGTTCCAGGTCGTGCTTCTGACAAGGGTGGCGATGATAACGAACCCCATAGTAAACGACCACATTTCTAGGCAGCTACGAAATTGCACTATCCGCAAAGGAAGTGCCTTACCAGAAGCGAAAAGCTGGGATCCGATCACACGTCTGAAATCATACATATCCTCTACTGATGCGACCGCGAGAAGCTAAGATTATCGGCTTTAAATGAGTCGTTGCTCTCAAATTCGACGAGAATGGCAATTTGACGCGTTACTGTTGCACTTCTATACCTGCAGACTCATGATGTCGATTATCCTCACACATAATCACTTGTAGCGAGTATGAACACTTTGCGAGTATTTCTAGCGGTGTGCTGCCATCATCAACTTTTCATTCTCAAATTTGACATTGAAACCGCCTTTCTTATTGTTGATGTCAACGAAGATCTTTAGATGAAACCGCCAGAAAGAGTTCAAGTACCCGCGCTGGTATGGTCTGTCAACTCCGACGGAGCCTCTATAAGCTCGAACAAGCTGCGGCAGTATGGTTTGAAACCATTCGTGTAGCTCGGATTCTCACAGTGTCGAGCAGATCCGTGTTTGTCCGTTTGCTATGATCCTGATGATAACGTCCGCGCATCTCCGATAGTTGTTGTTCTCTATGTAGATGACTTACTCGTCGGTGAAAAGACGGAAAAGCAATTACAAACAGAGCACAATGCGCTTGACTTGCATTTCATGGTTAAATGGCTTGGAGATGTTAAGTTCATGCTGGGGATGGAAGTCAAGCACGACCGAACTGAAGGAAAGCTTGTGATCAGGCAAACACAGTTCAATTTAGGACTACTGGAACAATTCGGACAAGATGCGAACAGTGTCCGAAATCCCAAGATTCGTCGTCAATATTCTGATAATACTCATGCTCACTTGGACTCTAAGACCAAGAATCGTGAATTGATTGGATCAATGTTGCATATCGTAAACGCAACACATCCCGACATTAGTATTGCGCTGTCGATACTATCCCAGTATCTGGATGATCCTCGTGAAATGGATTGCCGTGCTGCAATTAGGGTCCTGCGTCACTTAGAAGCGATTGGAATTTGATTCGTGTAGAGCAGTGAACAGCCGAGTGGACTGAAGACCTTGAGCAATACTAATTGGGGAGGAGGTCAAGCTACACGTCATTCGACTTCTGGTGTTCTGATATTGGTGTAGAGCGCCAGTCGTGTCCAAGAGTAAGAAGCAAGCAATAGTTGCGCTTATCACGGTGGAAGCTGAATATGTGGCACTTAAATTGAAAACCCAATAGGTTCTATCCTCTTAAGCAAAATGGGTGTTAAGATCGACAGTGCTACTTCAGTTAGAGTGGACAACAAGTCAGCGATCAGCATCGCAGTGAACCATGGGAATACTCCTAGTGCAAAGCACATTGACCTTCGAGCACATTTCGTGTGTGATCATGTTGAGAAGGGAACCATCAAGCTTCAGTATGTTCCAACCAAAGATCAGCTTGCAGACTTTCTTACGAAAACCATGCCAACACCGCGACTTGTCTAGCATTGTAGTGAAAGTGGACTGATCGAGGATGCAAGTTGAGTATTCTTTAATTTAGCTTTACTTGGTTGATAGTAAACTGAATGGTTATAGCATATTA